AATCAAAATTAAGCATGGGGTCCCTGCGCGAGAGAGATTCCGATATGTACAATGCCGTACAATGGCTCCAGCGCAACCAGAATCAAAATTAAGCATGGGGTCCCTGCGCGAGAGCGATTCCGATATGTACAATGCCGTACAATGGCTCCGGCGCAACCAGAATCAAAGTTATTTTGCAGTCAATCGGCATTCCTTCTCGTCGTATATTTGCAACAAAAAAAGTGACCATGGCGCAGAGTAAAAACACTAAACAGCCAAGCATCGGGTCCCTGCGCGAGGGCGATTCCGATATGTACAATGCCGTACAATGACCAGAATCGGTTCGCAAACCTCCTAAATTACAACCTCAAACACAATGTGGCGACATGTGCTTCCTGCATCACATCGCTTCTCTTCCATATTCATCATTCACCCCCTTGTTACGATAAACTTAAACACGACAGCATGTTAATCCGCGAACGGAAGTCAATAGTCCTACTCAATTCCATCTGCGAATGGTGCAGTCCGTTATCCGCTGTGGACTGAACGTGAAAACGCGATCACTTGAAGGACCTTTTTTGGACGAGAAGTGGACTATTACCACGTTGATTGTAAGTTCTAAGACTTTTGCGCAACATTGCATGCCATATCTCGAATACGCATAAATACCCCCATCCTTCCACCATCGGATTGCTCTTCAGTGCGTTACTGCTTTATCGATCAAGCATCGCGGGGGACTTCCATTCTATCGAACGAGCGGGCCAGTGAAGTGTACGTTGGTAACGAAAAAAGGGGCAGATCGGGAATATGCTGATAGACAATATATTTGTTGCTCTGGATATTCATACATCATGCTGATAGGATCACTTCTAATTTTTGTAGGTCGTCACGGGACATATCACGGAGTGTGCACTCCTCCTCTACGGTCCCCATCTTCACTCCCCACCCACCGTTACTCTTCTCGGTTTCCACCATCTCCGCCTCCATGCCCGCCTTCTCTATTTCCACCTTCTCCGCCTTCATCTACATCTTCTCCATCATCCCATCTTCATCACCGTCCATTCCTTTACTCCGCCTTCACGTCATTCTCATCGAAAAAAACAGTCGTTGATCGACATATCGAACTGTATCTTATCTCTCCCTGTCCCCCTTACGCACGACTGAGACTGATGTGATGCCGTTATGATGATTGCTTGGGATATAAGGTCGGGAATCAGGAAACTCTAAGGATAAATATGGGAAGGAAGTTGCACAGATCACATTAAGGACAATATGCTTATAATATATATGTACAAGTTATTCGTGTATAAGTTATTCGTGTATCGCATCCACACCTATTATGTTATGCTACTGAACTATATAGAATAAAGTCCTGATGAAGACTATCATATGTTATTGTTTTTGTTCAAAAATGGCTTACGTTGCATTGCATGAATTGTTGAAGAGCTGGTTGTCGGCAGTAATTACACGACATACTAATCGGATACCAAAGCCTATCTCTTTTTTGTGTGAACAAATATTTGAGCACGTTTTTTTAGCCAAAGGATCGGGGAAGATGTAGCCATACTATCTTACGCGTTTTTGGAAAATGTCTATGACGATTGTGCTGGTTTTTGAACAATGCATAGTGTGAGATGGTGTCGGCAGTCTACCCTCCTTTCTGCTTTCTCGTCAATATTCATTTGCAGGAAAATATGACTAGACTTTTCCCCACACACCACATGAGTTAGTGCGGCACATACGCGAATTCTATAATCTCGATCCTTTGGGCGAATTAACTATTGAGCATTACAGTGTCCAAAATAAATCTTTCCGCATTTTTTCGTGTTTTATTGCGATTCAGGCGCATTCTGTTGCAAAATAGAATCTAGGGGTCAGGATTGATGAAAAAATAATTTGAAAATAGCGATACTAAGTTAACTATTGTTCAGAATTTTATTAATCCTGCTGATAGTATTGATTGTTTGATTATTAATAATGAATTTACCTGGATCTCGAGTCAGGCGTTCGGTGGTGTTAACGTACCAGATTTGACCATCCCATTGGTCAAATTACGCTGAGCAAATATTGGTTGAAATCTTCTTAGCACTGAGCATATACGTAAATATATGATAAGAAAGTTTAATATATGAAAGCGTCTATGCCTGGCACTTCACCACTCTGACACTTTGAGCAAATTATTCTCTATGAAGATCACCTGGCGAAGGAGGAGAATGCTGCGTGATGAAACGGTCCCGTTAGACATATGATACTCGATGCTATCAGCATTGATTTGAACAAGGTGCGCAATTTTAAATAACGTCAGTCTTTTCCGACATCCATTTGGCGGAAGCAATTTTGCTCAGTTGTTTGAAACACGGCCGAAAAACTTGCCGCATAATTTTGCGATAGTCCTTAACGATCTGCGCGCAGCCAATACTTTCGTCTTCGCAACTTCTTGCCATTCTGACCCTGACTTGAAATTATAGGCAGTAAATACGTAATTGCGAGACTTTAAGCAAGTCTCGTTATTTACAATGCGTTTTCCAGTTGTAAAGGCACAGTAGGGGCTGAACTTGTAGGAAAACTACCCAGTCCGTAGAAAATCAGCACATTGGCTTTCGAACCTTTAGTGTATAGGAAGAATAAAGCTTAGTATATCAACGTCAATGAGGATGAATCCAGATCGAGAGTGAGACATACAGACATGCCGGCCACCAATCTACTCTTCACTTTCACCATCGCCTAGCATTTAACCTTTTCGTCTTTGCGTAATTTCCTAATATACGCATCCTCTTCTGTAGACATCTTGTTCTTTCACTTGAATAAAAAGCAATCTCACTGGACTTTATAATGCCTGGTTCATCTTCTTCGGCCTTATGTGTTATTTCACAATCATTTTCAACCCTAGTTTTCACTTTTATAAAATCGTCCAGTCTATATTAAGCGTGGGTGCACTATCAGCCGCTTACTAGATTCTCTGCCCGTGCCTACGCATCATTGATAATAACGACCGAATGTCCAATTTCTACATATTCTTGATACGCTGATTTCTCAGCCCATGTTTGAGATTATACAGGTTGCTTTAATGGACGCTGGCGATGTTGGCTCATTCCAATCGCATTGTTCTTGCAGTTACGTGACCTCCCAGATTGATTCGTAAGTGTCCAGAATCGTTCTTCAAACCAGGCGAATTAAAACGATACCATCGTTCCGGATCAGTAACACACTACAAGGCAAACTCGGCAAGACGAAGCCACGCTAAGCCGAAATTGCATGAGGCCGAAGTTTACCGCATAATTTTAATCTCGATATACCGAAGTTATCGCGTGAATATGTATTGGTTGGTTCGTTTTTTGACATTGTGATGTCGCAAACAATCGCTCGATTGTTTATCTCCAATAACACATGCTTGGGCAAAAACCGTATCCTGCCTAATAGTATCGCAGTAATCGAAACTGCAGGCGTTAATTTGTCAACGAATGCAGAGTTAATTGAACTTGTTAATCAATCCTATTGATACTATGGATGTGACGGAATTTGTTAATTTGGAAGATTCCGTCTCTGTATATGATATACCACAACTGAGTCGATCATTGCAACAATAGAAGGAGAATAATTATCAGAATTGGAAAGCTTTCCAATAACCAAATCCATTTCTCATGAAATCAGCTCGAGCACGTCAATTTTTTACTTTTAGTCAAGATTGTGACAACGAACTCGACCTGATATTACTTTCTTATCTAAATTAAGAAAGGGTACAGAACACGAATGGTTACGAGCATTGTTATAATTGAAACTAATATCAGAATACGTTACAGCAATCGAGCATTTTTTCATTTTACAAATTCGGCTTAATGCAAAAATTTAGTAAAACGAAAATCTCGATAAGCCGAATAAATTGTCGACCTTCGTCTTATCGTGTTTGTCTTGTATTATAAGATTATGATAGATGAAAGGGTTGTGGTCGTGGCAGAGTAGTTTTATTAGCAATGGTTATTATTGTAGTTTGAGGTCGATAAGTTAAAGTCAACGAGCAAGTTGTAACGGGTAAGTTATAAATGTTTCGTTTATCGAAATGTTATATAAATGGTTGAATGCTATCCTTAGTATTGCAGTATAAACATAACATCCCCAAAGTTTGCTTTGTTATCCACTGTTCGTTAGAGAGGAGTTATTTTTGTTACTTAATACAGAAAATTTAGGCGGACGTTCTTTGTCTTACGATAACTATCACTATATTTTGCAAAAATCGAAGTACTGATTGTATCAGAAGAAACCCAGTAATAGTAAATTCATGATGACTAACAATGGCACAACGTTACATGAATTGTAAAGTATCTAATTGATCGGACCGGACACGTCAACATCTCGTGGCTGCCAATAGTGAATAGTTTCAGAATAATTGGAAAACCTAAAATGAAACTACGCATTCTTGCATTTTTTAGAGGACACAATCACATGTACTACAAATGCAAAAAACCGGTACACAAACAATGACAAGAATATAGTTTGGAAATAATAATCTGAATATCGCAAAGGTTCTTCCTGCCAAAGTCTTAATTAAGAGATTAAAGTTTGGCCTGTTGAAGGGGTGCGTTTCAATTCTCACGACATACAAACTACTACTTTTAGTAATAATAATAATAATAATAATAATAATAATAATAACGATAATAATAGAATACGACTTTATTGTCAAGCTACACGAACTTTGTATTGTACTACTTAGCGTTATGTATTATCTGCGTATGGTAAACAATACCTGTCAAAATTACGTATTGTCTGGTAAGTAACAATTCTTTTTCCCCACTGAACAAGCTTTTCTAATAATACAGTTTTTTACTATATGAGGCTGTGTCTCTGTTAATCATTATGAGCCCGGTTGTTGGTGAATAACCGTAATAATATTATTTGTCTATCGCAAGGAGTTTAATATTGTTTTCAGGACATTTTTGCCAAGTATATAAAGTCATCGTTGTTTCGCGATAGTCCTATATAAGTTAGCACTAAAAAACCAAAAATTCATAATGGCCAACAATAAAAAATTCAACCGCTGGATCGGTCTATACGTATTACTTATAATTATGCTGCCATCAGCTTTATCGTATAACAACATCACTTATGTAGAGGATGAAGACATGTTACAAGTATGGTCCTTTTGGGCAAGCTACAATAACGGTGCAATAGTTCAGTTACTTAAACAAGTGAATGATACCTGCTTCGAACCACGAATATTTGTTCGCAACATTGATCAAAATGGGACTGTCTTCGCGTTTACTATCGAATATCCTTGGCCTGAGTTTAATTTTTGCAGAATTCCTAATTTTGTACCTCCAGTTGAGGGCGATGTTCCTGCACAATTTTCTGTATTCGGAAACGATCATATATTTATACCATTTTTTCGTATTGTTGATGGAGCGTATGAAGGGCGAGCAATAATTGTTTCGGGGCAAGGAGAGATTCTTTCAAGGTATTGTAGCAAGATTGCGTTGTAGATACTGTTCTAGAAACGGATAAATGTTAATCATTGCTCTTTTAGCGAGATATGGCTAGGACCCTATGCTAAATATACCGAAACTGGGTCGTTGTATCGTACACCCCTGCTGCGAGATGTGAACAATGACGATCAATTTTACTTGCGCTTTGCATCAGGAGTGGCTGACCGACTTGCCTGGACCCGCGTCAAGTTAAGGTATATTATCTTACTGGTAATGGAATTTCCTGGGTTTTAAAAATCCAAATTAATAATATATGATGTTAACTAAAAAGCCTAGAACCTTTCGAAGTAAAAGAAATTTATTATGGTATTTATGATGATATAATAGTACCCGGAACAACAAGCGCTGCTTTTGTATCTGTAAGCGGTGATCTTGTCGCTCCGGAAATCAGCAAGACCAACGCCACTGATGACGCCGGTTTTAAATGGGCAGTTCACGTGTCATTTCTGCACTCGGATGCAAACGAGCCAACGGAACCTTACTTGATTTATCAAACTTCAGTTCAGTTCTCCCAATTGAGTGTCAGAGCATGTGCATCTTCATCCGACGGATCAGGCCATCAGTGTATTATTAACATGGTTCTCAACAGTACATTTGGAAATTCATCAGAAACTTTTGTTCGAGTCACTTTCTTATCAACTGGAGCGGTCGTTGATGTTAAAGAACTTATAACAATTAATAATTTTGCGGGTGAGATGGAAGTTTACAACTTACCCTACGGTGGATACTTGTTAAACACCTTGACTGCATCTGTTAATAAGACTAAAACATTTGATAAGCTCACAATCGATCTGTACGACAATAACGGGACTTTCATTCAACAAGCTGATATTCCTACTGATATGCATATTTCCTATGGAGTTTTGACTTTTCCAAATAATTCTGTGTGGACAGTTAGTGAAATATTCAATAAAACATGGAATCTGATTTCAACTGATTTACCTAAATTTTTGCCGAATGGTAAGTAATAATAACAAGCAAATTAATTGTAGTATAATCATTATTGATTCGTTTAATCTGCTTCTAGATAATGGTTATGATAATCCTACAATTAACGCAACATATCCAAAAACTGGGGAGACGATTCCGACTGATACGAAAACCTTTTCTATTGTATACAACATCCCCGTTGTTTCATCTGTTGGCAACATTTCTATTTATCAAGCTACTGATAATGGTGATATTCTCAGAGAAGAAATATCAGGGCAGTCAGAATACGTATCTATTAGCAACAATAACACTGTGTTCATTCAAGTTTTGGATAGCACGTTTAATCAACCGAATACGAATTATTACGTCATTGTCGGCAGTAATTTTGTGAAAAGTGAAAAATTCGGTGAAGCGCTCGCTGGAATCAATAAAAATGTCTGGTATTTCAATACAGGTTAGTTGGTGATAAAAGACGGAAAACGGCAGACGATATTGTTATTAACGTTGTTATTAACATTTTTGTAGGAGATGCAGAGGATATTTATGCTGGTAAGTTACGAGGAATATCAATTTCACGTGACAAACAAGTTCTAAATATATTAATATGCTTTTATTAGATACTGTAAACGGATTAGTGCGCTTGACTGCCAATGGGACGTCGTATTATGAGAATCTTCCCTCGGGAGGGGACAAGATAGCGTTTTGGGATTCTGTAAAACGTCAACTCAGTCAAGTTATTCCGGTAGACCTAGATCGCCTTTCAATTCATGGAAAGCCGCAATACGATCCATCATTGGAAAACAAACAGATCTTATTTCGTCTTCAAATAAAATCTACAAGAGCTACTGGTCAGAGAAGTGTATCCAAAGTCATGAGTGATCTAACGACTTTGATACAGCACAAAAGTATTACAGCTGTTCAATACTACACTTATATTTCTATGTTAGACGAGACTTATGGGTTTACAGTGACGCGTGAGTATAAATAATAATAATAGATCTACTTTACATCAACCTCCGTTTTCAGCGATTAATGTGTATTATTTAATTTCAGCCGATTTGTGGGCAAGTTTCAAATACGAATTCTTGGCCATATTTTGTATATTACTTTTCATAACAATCTTGTATCTATTAGCCAGATACAAATATAAAGAGGTAAAAATCCCCGCAGACTTTTTCGTGCACTATTATTGTTTTATTAATTATGTATAATTGCTATTGTAGGGAAGAAATTTTGCAATATTCAGATTGGCTATTATGCTTCAGGATTTGGTTCTCGATATATTATTTTTATACAAAAACAGCCGAGATGTTCCAAACTTATTCTTGCCAAGGTTGGTATTATGTGAATGCTTGATAATATTTAATTCAATTATTCATGACTAAATCCATTGTTTGTTTAGCATTCTTGCATTTGCGGTCCCAGTTACATGGAACAGTGTTATTGCATTCTGTATCATGGTTCAAGAAAATGCAACGAATGCAAAATTTCAGATTTGGTTTTCAAATTATCCTAAGCTTGCATCAATATTCACAGTATTGGCAGCAGCAGACGTTGAGATGTTGAGTATACTATCATCTAATTTTGCTGGATTTCCCTCGTTCACTGCACCGTTTTCGGTGAAAACAAAAACGTGGATGTTTTGGGGAGGCTTTACCAATCTTTTTATTGAAGATGTGCCTCAGTTTGTAATTCAGGTAAGTACGGGATATTAATACTCGGGCTGTTTTAAGTTCAAACCTTACTAACATTTGACAACTATCAAATTAGGTTTTCTACAGAAACTCTACAATTTCATACAACATTATACCGTTCTTGACCTTGATCAGCAGTTCGGTGATCATAACGATTAACGTCATCGAAAGAAGCTATCATGTAGTCAACAGACTCTATTCTAGAAAACGTTGTAGAAGTACTGAGTCATTAGAAAGCGATTCGAACAATTTAATCTTTGTTAGTTATCCAACAAACGAATTATTGATACAACCTTCAGAAAAAACAGTTGTAGCTAAATCAAGGAGACGTGCTGTATCGACAGGAGACATTCCAACAATGCAAAAATTTCGATAATATATTTGGTTTAGCGACTATTTATGTAAATATTTTTACAGTAGTGATTTAATAAACGTGTAAATGTGATAATAGTATAATTGAAACAGTAAGCCACCCATTAGTTGTTCTGTGGATAAATGACGCTAGTCGAGGCAATAGTCACGGGAGAGCGAATAACTATTGACTCGTCTGAGATTTAGCTACACTTCGTAAGTGCGTGGCTCACCTCAGCGATAGTTAGAACGTAACAAACAGTTAGTAACCTTTTAATTAGGCTTTTACGTGCTGACGTATTGTATACGGAACACACACGCAAAGCCACATAATTAACTATTCTCGAGAAACTAAACACTAAGAATTAATATGTCAAAGTAAATGGATACTCGCTTGATAAGGTAAGGAATAAAATATAATAAAATCGAACGTCTTCGATATTCAGGACTTGAAAATGTAAATGCGAACACACCGAAGTCAATTCTACGCTGCTTATATATCTTTCGAACTACTAATTATTCTATTTTTATCATCGTTATCTAATCTATTGTTACTTAATATTCTACAGCTGCCATCTTGCTGCTCGTACCGGCCGGTACTTCGTCATGTTACATACGGTCCGAAAGAAATCCAGAGAGAAATACGTCATCCGTTATCACACACTGCACAAAAGAATGATTATTGGCTTTATGCTAAAGCCGACTTTTCACTAGTTGGGGGACATCAAATACGACTTGCCATTGATTTGCCCATTCTAAATGAGACATCTAACGCGAAGGGTCAACCATACACTCTGGACAAATTTGGAATTTGCTACCCATGCGTACCATGTAAGTCGCAATATTTACCAATAGATTGTGTTCGACAAGTAATACAGCGTGTTACAAAAGAGGAAAGTTTTCAAACATACATTACATACGTGGTATGTACAATTTGCCTTATTTTTAAATTTTATGTTATAAAAACCAAATAAACTATTTTATTCCTTCAAAGTAGTTACTATCATTGTTCTATACTAGTACACCTTTACAGCTTTTCCCCCCAACTCTCAACATTTATAATGCTCCTCTTTGACTGAACACCCCTTGCAATGTTTGAATCTTATTATACCTCTTATTTTTAAGCTCTCTTTTGAGTCTAGGAAATAGGAAAAAATCTCGGGGTGCTAGGTCTGGACAATGTGGTGGGTGAGGAATAATATTGACTTTTTCTTGCTTTAAGCACTCAGTAACAACTTTTGAATAAAATCGAAAAAAACTAAGAATAATTGTTAACAAAGACGCTTTGTTTAAAGTACCGAAATCAAACCACGAGATCCTTTACTTTATTAGGTGTACAAAAAAGTGATTGTGTAAAACAAAAAAAAAGATAATCCAAGCTTAACAAGAGTAGAATAGCGAAGAAATTGTAAGGCCTTCATGGTTTTGAACTAAACAAATATTAACTGAAGATCGTCCAATAAAGTTGCAGATTACTTGATACATATGTATAATAATAACGGATTATGATATCGTGAAATATCGATTTAACGGTTCTCTCGATTTAACGGAGAAAATGGGTCGCCTCCGTTATATCGAGTTTCACTGTGTACTATAAAAGTAGTCAAAGTAATACCCATCTATTGAAAAACGCTATGTATAATATCTAATTATTCTGAACACATTGTTTTGCGTGCTAAAAATAATATTAACGGGTTTGCTATATCCATTCAATGATGAGTACTTACTCTACAGGTTTACTTCCTGTTAATTGTATAGTCAAACGTCGTTCCAGTTAATCTAGTAAAACTACCGTTGTTACATGTATTTGAATATGTTCGGTAGACGCTATTACGTGGATCGTAATACGGAAGTTACTGGACATATTAAAACAAAGTCTACCGAAATTATGTTTTTATTATCCGCTTCATACATGTCCGCATTAATTGACGTTCTTGAATGTTGCCTCATTGTCTACGAAAAGTAAATCCTAACGTTCTATTGCTATAGTAATGAAATGTTATAGAGCCAAAAGCCACAGACTTTAATAGATCTTTAACATGTAGACTGCAAAAACACAAATGTTGGATATGAGTTCTCTATCAAGCTACAATCGCTCCGTAAAAACATTTGCTTTCTGACGTATATGACATTAGTGATGATGATACAAAATCATGTCTAAGTCGAATACTAAGTTACTCCACGCAAACTTATTCAACCATGTTCTGATTTAACAAGCGCCGTTGTCGAAATGGTGAAAAACGATCAAGAGTATAAACTTCGACGTGTAATAGCAAAAAGTCATTATTTTAATTTTTGTGTTCGTGTACATACAATGTGTAGAATATCGTCGTGTGATATTCAACTCACGTACGCGTCTGTCAACACGATTAAATATAAATAGCGATAAAGAGAATTGCATGTTGTCATAAACGAAACGACTTTTTGTCTATACATGTTAATAAAACTAAATTGATTCATCGTATCTATTTTCTGAAGCAGCTATGTCGTACTGCAACGCTTGCAAAAAACAGCTCTTTGAAGAATGTTTTAGAATATGAGATATAATAATAAGGCCTGTTCCGTTCCAATTTGTGCTGATCCCTGATTGGCGGATTAAAAATCACATGATGGGAACAAGGTGGGAACCCACACACGTTTATTAATAAGCGTAAGAAAAATAAAAGGTTACGTTGCGCAAAAGGATTCTAATGGCTTTTAGGAATATATATTTTTTGTAAAGAATAACACTTGAAATCTTGGAGTGAAAAGAAAAACAACGGAACGGGGAAACGCGAAATTTGTCCTCAATTCTCACGGATTTTTGATTGTTGATACAATTTTGCCGTCGAACGGAACAGGCCTATAGTATATAAATAAGAAAAATATAGCAAGGATTGCATAACTAATGACGACCATTCTAGCGTTAGAATCAATAATTTACGGTTTTCTGTAAAATCATTGCGGTGCTGCAAAGTTTGCAAAAAACATTTAGACGAAGGAAATCAGAAATTCTCGTCCAAATCATGTATGTAACAAATGTCGAACTCAACGAAAAAAGCTAAAAACCGCAGCAATAATGTTTAAATTCGGCTTAATCAGTTGTATCGAATTTGAATGTAACGACCAATGAAAGTAGCACGGACGTGATTCATGTCAGCAGCTTTCTGAAATTATTTGTCTGGGGTTGTGGAAGATTCTGTAGATTTGGATAGTTTTAAGGAGCTTGAGATAGATGTTACATTTGAAAAGGATTCGTCATCAGTTTCCTCATTAGATAAATATACTTTCTTTATAATCTTTTGCACTGTTAAGTGCTCTCGTCCTATATTTTTTGTTGCCATTTTTACATTCATTCCATTTATGAATAACCCGTCCAACTGTACTTTCTGAAACCCCCGAACCTCAGCAACACGCTTGCATAGTGTGAACTTTTGGCGTTTTTTAGATGAGGAATTCTCCTCTGAAAAGTATTTGTGAGCGTTTAAAATCATTATTTTTTCATTTTCAGTTAGAGGAGCTGGCTCCGGAATAGAGACATTTTCAAACAAGTTAAGTGATGTACTAATATAATCCCTCGATACAAATTAACTAATAATCCCTTATTAAAACATAAACCAATTCTCAGCATCTTCCAGGCTTTCAAATAAAGTTTGAACATCATGTCTTAATATTAAGTGTAGTGTAGTTCGGTTTGTCATTTATGATAAGCTTTCGTTTACACCCATAGAGGATATTATATTAATAATAACCGAAATAATCATTACACTCAATTCTTTTTTGTTTTATTATTTTGAGAAAAAAAATTAGTTATACATTACTAAAGTTGAGACGATTTCTTTTTTGTAAAAATTACTAAAATATGAGAGCGTAAAACGACTTGATAATATATAATATACAAATAGTTTTTGTGATTTACATAAATCGAATCCATCTTGAATTAATTCCAAACCATATTTCCTCATAAAAACACTATGGCAACAAACAATTTAAAAAACAAACAATCAATCAAAGCGCATGAACGACGGGATTATTCTCAGTAGTCCCGTTAGTGACAGTATCACCACTGAATGTGCTACTACGCCTTTGATCATTAGAAAAGCCACGTTCAGGATCAAAATTCTCTGCGTTTGCTTCGGACTCTTCAGCGAGTTGCTCCTCCAATACTGGCCTCTCTTCCAAGATCACTTCAACGGCGTCGTTGATCTCAGCCTTTTCGATATCATGATCATTATTAGTATCATCGTATTGTTCATCTAGATCGTTACGGCGGACACCGATTACGTTCGAAGCCCATTCAAAGAAGGACGCACGCTTCATTGATACTCCCACTTTTTGGCCACTCACGTCCTCGTAAACGGGTTGTTGTCTAGTTGAATTTAATTGTGCAGACTTTGATTGCAGGTAATCATCATCATCGTCCTTAATTGATATGACTTGATCTTTATAATATGGTGCACGCGGAGACTGTGAGCCGGAATGATATGTTTTTGATGCCTTTGTCGTACCGTTTGAACTGCTATAGTTAGATCCTTTGTTCGCGTTAACAGGTCTTCCTTCAATAGTTCTTACAATTTCTGCATCAGCCGTAATAGTATAGCTTAATAACATCAGTGCGACAAAGTTATAAGGCCAGAAGTTGAAGGGATTCTCTTGCGTTGTGATGACTCCGGAAAGAATGACAGAATAATGTAAGAAAGCAGCGAATAAACGCAGGAAATTCCAGTACATGACAGCTGTGAACAGACTCCGTTTATGTGGTCGTCGCATATTAGGTGTTACATGCTTAGCATTGTTATTGGCTTTGTTGAGGATATAAACAAGTCGTAACGTAACGTAAATGTCGATTGCAACATCAGTGGCATTGTAAGTGTAAAACAGTCCCCTCTCCACGCTCTGTGCAATATCCATCTGGCAGAAAAATGTTCCGGGTGCATCAGGGGATTCGTACGCATTTGGTGAAGTCATCGAAACTTGAGTTAACTAAAGTGAACATGAAAAACGTGTCAGAATGTCTCAATTAAACAAGCTGTGCTTCCACAGGACAAAATGCTTACTTGCGCAGCTACCCTTACGAAGTACAGAAACCCGCCAATGGCCAAATCATAAGGTTTGTGTTCAATTTGTCGTAATCTCCATAATATGAAGAGAGCCAGAGACGATAAAAATGCGAACTGCGAAACATTCACAGGAATATATAACCCTCTGCAAATTGCCGTGGTCACATCAGTTCCAGCCATAGCGGCTGCAAAGGCAAAGCTGTACCTAACAGCACCCGCAAAGTTAAAAATTATTTTAAGAATATTTGAGAGAGTACTCTGTCTAGTTTTGAAGTAAAAGATAGAGATGACAGTATTGTGGGCAAACATCTGCATCACAAGGCGGAAATGAAAATATCGAGTTGTAAGTGTATGGAAACTAATGCAAAATAACAATCGACTACTATTGTACTAAGTTTTTACTTACCATCGACAAAGCGCCGAAAAGAAAAAACTGAAAGCCAAGACGCACATAGGACACGAAAGGTAATGTAACAGTATTGTGGTCCATCTTGTTGATATGATATTCTGCAGTAGTAGTGTGGTCTAACTGAACGCCGTATACCAAGAAACAAAGTGCTAAGGTTAAAGTGAAGAAAATAATTAAGAATTTGCGATTGAGGGGAACCTCCATATTTAAGTTGTTTTTTGGGAAAATGATGTTCTATTATCTAGATCAGAACAATACATGCCGTGTTAGACTCACAACAGAGGTATAGACCCTTTAATACTGTATAAGGAATAATTAAAAATTCGGCTATAGTTTGGGACACAATTTCTTGTCACTCAATTGGGCGTTCTCGCCCCCTTTTTGTAACGCATATAATTAGAAATACAATACAATATTGCTGTTATCATTATTATGAATGATGAACTCTACGGTGTTGGAGAAGTTAGATTGTCTTGTTTCGGACAAACAATACTAATACTTACCATTTTAAAACTCCAGCGTTTTATTACCGAGATAGCACATTCAAACGTAATGCCGTAACACAGAATTTGACCAAATGTATAACGTAAATTTATCGCTATGTAATCGACTAAATTCGGATAGTGCAACAAATGTGTGTGATTATAAAATAGAAATTATTAATGAAGAGTTTGTAACAAAGAACAATACCAAGGCTGTAGACATAACAATGATTGTCTCTTCAACAACGAATTTCTTTACCAGACGACAGCAACTAATGTTCCTATAAATATGGCCGTTACCTGCTCATTCATTAGATACATCGTCTGTTCTCAGTAAGCGACAATAGAATTTCCCAAGGGCTTTCACCCAACTTTTAAGCGAAGCCTGGACTCGAGCTCATACTCATCGAGGACTTTGTAAAGCTAAAGAGTTGCACGTATGAGGATCAGCCGAATACGGCTACGAGCAGTTCTAACTCCTTATTAATCGAATAAAATGAGAGTTTAACATTTTTTTTCCCTATTGACGTAAGAGGATGTCACAGGCACGGGGTTTAAATACGTCACATGTAATCTAGTACTATAATCTGCTACGTCGATTATTTCGTAGTCACGTCTCGTATATACAACGATCATAATAGACTTCAGTCTTGGCAAATTCTCGTCTTCTACGTTGATATAATGGAAGTTTCCCGATTGTTTTCGTTATATCAGTACATAGTGATATCAAACGGATTCCGACATAAAAGTGACATACGCAAGGGAATTATATAACAGTAAGCTCCAATATCGCCAAGGTAAATGTTGATATTGACTGAATGCGTAAATGCATTAAGGGATAAGACTGGTTTGCGTCAGATAGAACTGGTTAATTATAATTTTTAATTTCGATTATTACTGAACGGTTGTCCCGTTGTAAGGTTCGCGATTTAACGAGTTCTCGGAACCTGCAGTCAGTTCTGATCCTGATTAGAACGAGCAAACGAGGCAAGAGAATATTTAGATTTCTTATCCACTGACATGACATTGTAACCTAACGATCGTACTTAGTACAACAGTTGCTTTATTGTATTTAGTTGTGGCTCCGCATAAAATCGCGGAAAATAAAAAGAAAATCCAAGGAGGTTAATGAATATGAATGTAGGAAATTACAAATGCCAATGCAAAGTATGATTTCTATGTAAAATGCAATATGTTTACAATGTGGATGATGTTGATGCAATTTGAAATGAATGTATACAAGTGCAATGATCTATTGACAAGTGATGTTGAAGCCATATGCTCGATGATGATATTTGATCAAAAGCCGAAATAAGGTAGTGAAAACTTCTGTTCTACTTTATGCCATTATTTCTTATGGCATGTTAGACATTGACGTTTTTCCTGACGTTTTTCCTTATGACATGTTAAACATTGACGCTTTTCCTTATGACATGTTAGACACTGACGCTTTGTTTGGCGCTTCTTTTGCATCATTAACTTCGGCTTGGGATCCTCAATCGAGACATCAGCGCAATTCAAGTAAGTATCACCCGACAAGGCAGGTACCCATCTGAATCTCAATATACAATTATCACACGTCACATCATCAGGCAGCTTTACATTAGCCGTGAAAGAATCTCCGACTTGATCGGCACAATTAGGTAGAGTTCCAATTTGTTGAAAATCATTGTCTTTTCCAGTGGTAGAAAGGTCCATGAAACATTGACCCTCCAAGGCTTCCGTGATTTCCCATACGACTTTAATGGACTGACCGCGGACGTATTTCGTTAAAACTCGACCAGGAGTAGGGGCATTTCCGCAGCCATAATTCGTAGTGGGGGAGCCGAGGAGTGCGAGAGCTGTTTGAAAATCACCACTAGGAAGACGAGGGTGAGGGAAGTTCATTTGTCCGTTACCAGCGACGAGGCTAGTAGAGAAGAGAATGAATGCAATGAATGTATAGATGTATTTCATTTTGACTTTCGTTATAAAATGGAGTGTATGCTTTATGATTTCTAAAAGAAAGTGTCTCTAATTTTTCTTGAAAAATGCAAATTGCGAATATTGAATGATATGCAAATGTATGGCGTGTTTGGGGAATGGAAGGAACTCTACCAGAGGTTCAAACGAAAGGTGAACCTGATGTGAGGATGCTACCGTTATAAATGAAGGAAATCGATGTTCTGGATATGGAAAAAGGTCGAAACCCCAGGGGTCTTTTTATAGAAAATCGTGTTGATCGTTGTTCATATAGGATAAAGAAGAGAATACTACGATAGAAGATAATTGGTTCGTCTTTGTTTGACGAAACGAAAGTTGTAGTAACAAGGTCAAGGATAAAGGTTAGTCTAATATCCACCCATCTGGATATAGGAATGAGTGGGGATGATGTGTAAATGTACTCTATACATAAAAATATTAGTAATGGTATATAGGACCAAATAATTTATTTGTTATAAGGTCGCATATGGCATGGTTGTTAACTATATCGGGCGGACAGTAAATGAAGATGTTGCCCGATGTAGAACAAAAATTTCCGGTACTTCCATTATGGACATTGTAAAGTTTGCATAATACACAAAAACCTGTTTTGTATATGCATTCTAGCGTCTATTTCTAATAGCATATACCAAACGTTGGTGTCACTAGCAAGCCATCGTGCATGCTAGCTCTCATCCAGAGCATGTTCTGACCTGTGTAGCGTGAAGATGACACAATTTAAAATAAGTAATTCTCGACTTGGATTAGCTAGTTGACTGAAAACAATGACGGATACGGTTTTTACTAAATAAACGATGAAATATAATAATAGAACGGCGTACTTGGATTCTGTCCAAATATTATTGAATGGTCAAAATTACATCAAGTGTAAACGATTTCAGTATTACTGTTATGCCATAAACTGCTTGGCCTGATTTACGACCACAATGATCATAAAGCGGTGTCTTCCAGATTTGGAATATAACCTTCTAGACTGGACGCACAAGCAGTCTCATCGTTTATTGGTCAAACCAGATTTGCGTGAGAATTGACTCTTACCTTCTAACTGGTCGTTATGCTTTCATTGGTCCCGAGAGATTGGTAGAATTTCAACTCCGTCAAATTTGATTATCTGAAATAATCTGAATGATCTTATACTAATATGTTAATCGTAACGTATCCCAGCATATAATCTCCTTAAATTATATGCAATTAATGAAATTAATATGCTAACTATGCTATCTCCCGGTCTTGGCACTACAAAAATCGTTAGCAAATGAGCGTATGCGGAACGGATGGAAACGTATTTGTTCAAAGATTCCCATTTAAAGAGATAGTAGCAAGCAAGCTAAACTCTCATCAAACTGTTCAACTTAGACGAGTTACACAACTTTCCGCTCCCCAGTCACTCTTATTAGATCATCGCACAAACATGATATATTAGATGTTTGTGTGTTGCATGTTAAACCATTGTGTAAACAAAACTATGTAGCACTTATGGTTAAGTTGCGGAGTTATCATTGACAATCAAATTTAGAATAGTAAGAGACATTAATCTTACTGGTAATAAGCTCTATTTAGAAAAATAAGTTTCCGCATGGTATATAAAAAACTACAAACAGTTTATTATTTTAAATAATTATTATATATTTTACATTATAATTATATCAAGCGAAGGTCATTAATTCGATATCATAGTCAAACCATGCATGTCACAAATTTAAGTGTAACATCTAACTGGGTCATTATGTCCGGTCAGATATCAATGTGTTGCGTGTTAGATCATTATGTTAAAGAGAACAGAAGAACGAACTAGAGTTAATTCTATTACTCCTGCCCTGACACCAATAATACACCTTTGTATGACCCATTAGTAAACCGTTCACGACCAATCCCAGTTAATACTGTTCCCATTCCAGTCTTCCTATTCTCGACAAGACTCTCGTTTCAATTAGCACAGATATCCGAATCGTTCAACCACCTATTACTATAAACAGTTGTATACTATATGAGGAAAACAGCTCACATATTCATGAGATTAATGGAAACCCTAGCATTCAAACACCGGCAACAATGCGACAACATGGCTGTTGTGTCAATTTGAAGATGGTTACAAAATGGAGACTTAGATCGAAAATATTCAAATAAAGTCGTGTAATAAACAGTATGCACTGACATTCTTTGTTTGCAAGACGCTTACATTGATTGGTAAACGATGTGTGAAGGTGCCAAGATGCCAATTAATTAATTTGCTAAGACAACCTATTTACTATATTTAATCAATAACTCGCATTTTGACCTTTGTCTGTCGTTTGTTACCGGTATCCTCTTGCATAAATGTTATGACTATTAGCTGCCTCTATCCATCAACAACACGCGCGTATCTGTACATGTCAATTATCCCCCCCACCCCTGATTCGAGAATGGGTGACGTTCGTGTCACTACAAAACTTGAAAAATAATTGTACAAATTCCTAATAAGCGCTCCTTTTACCTTTTTACAGAATACACATGAAATTTGTAAATTTCAATTGGCTGATCACGATCCGCATGATTCGCATGACGTATGGTGTAGGGAATTGGATAAAAATCAAAATTTTTATTAAAATAGAGAAAATATGAATGGTTATCCATTATTATTGGAGCACATTATTAAAGCGGGTTTCCTATCCGAATATTATACGACGATTACAAGCCTTAATATAAATAACAATTAAAAGCATAAATTTTATATTTGTTAGTCAAATTAAATTTCCTGACATTGTTGCTTTATCTTTTACCAAATACGGAAAGTATCAACACAACATTCCCATTAATCCTTCCCCCTCCATATTTCCCCCCCAGGTTTGTGCACTTGTTGGGTAGTGGCACTAAACACCTGTGCAAGGGAAAATAAATTCCAACTATTTACGGAAGACAGACGGAATGCGATAGAATGTTTGGGCATTATATCACATGATTGAACAAATCATGCTATTGGTGTTATATTTAAGGATTTTCGCAATTAGAGTTTTGTTCCTTTTTCCCATTTTTGATCCTGTTACGACTAATCGAGCAGAGATCAACGCACAATGTCATCCCCCTGAATCTATGCGGTCACACTAACAAGCCGTAATCAGTCACACATCATTGTCGACGGTTTAACACGTTTGAACAGCAGTTTAGATATCACCTTATCTTTCACACAAGCAATATGCACTGGTAATACCAGTACCTTGCATTGACTCTAAGTCATGCCGCTTCTCGAACGTGTAACGAAACTAGAACAAAGAATAAATGCCATTGACGAATTATTAACTTTGTTTTGTTATGTGAAGGCGCATTGATTACGGCAGTTCGGAGTAGTGACACGATAAATAGATTATATCATCAGTTTGGGTTACTCAGAAGAAAGAAAAAAAGAAAAAAAAAAAAAACCAATTTTTCCAAATCAAGTATGGAAGTACACATTTTCTCACGCATTCAGCCAGCCGCTTAGTGTTGTTAGCTCCCTATCTGTTCTGCTTAATCGATGAAAAGAAATCACCAGTAAAAAACCACTTTGGACGTCATGAGTTTGTCGCTTCAGTTAACGAGGATTGGTTGGGCCCGGTTTGCGACTTTGATTATTAATAATGCATTAGTCAAATGCATTGTCGATAATTAAATCCAACCCGAATTGTCCTAACTTCTTATTTCGTCCTACATACTCGGCATCTTGTACAATCTTGTCAATTTATCCTTTGTCCTCTTTTCTGCCTTTTCACTTGAAAGAATGTATCTGTGCGATCCCAACAGTTGATATTTCGTACGATAATGGATATAGTGTATGAATGATAGTGTATGGACGTTTTATCTAACAAAAGAAAATAGAATGACAATGGAGGAGAGGTTTTATGTTTCATTTAGTTGTAATAACAAACCGTTTTTAGCAACATTTCGTATCCATTAATAGTAGCGACTTTCACATTTCATTACCATTTTCTCACTCATCCATTCAAACCGCTGGGCATGACGATATCTGAAACTATCGTCAGACAGAACACATAATACGTATTTGGATAATTGGTATCTATAAATAATATCCTTGTATGCCAAAACGGGGAATGTGATTGAGCGATGTGATATGGGGTGAATGCGTATAGGATGCTAGAAGAAAAAAGGGCCAAAAAGACTGGGCAAAACTGGGCAAAACGCCAGAGAACAATTGCATGCATGAATCAAAGATTAATAATAATACACATGCTATATCGATGCTAAACGAATGCGCAATCGACAATGTCAACGGTTCGCCCATTCGAACAGCATGTGTTGTGCCATATTTATTGATTATCCGTTTAAAATTCTGTAGACGGTTGTAGCATTTTGCAAGAAGTGATGAGGTTTTTAAAATCTTGTATATAAATACGTAAAATAAAGTGTCTTTTATATGCCTTGAGAGGCATGTATCAAATGAATTCAGAAATCCAGATGACAAAAGTCAATATTAAATAGAAAGTTTTTTAAGTTAATTAAATAACAACCACACAAAAAGTCCCGGTTCATTCAAATTGTTGGTTTACCCATCTAATGCGGAATTGCTTGTATACTTTCTCCCTCAGAGCTCTTATCACAATCTACGGGATTTCCTGATTTCGTAGATGGGCCGAGCGTTAGAACACGATGAGCTTCGTAGATCTGTTCGAATGGAAAGGGAAGAGAGGAACCGTTGTTTGAATTGACAATGTGATCAGAAATATTTTGAAAAAAATAAAAATAGTCCAAAACAATTTCTAGAAATACCAATGACATCATCCCAATATATACTCACTCTCTTTGCCAGCCTCGCTACATTTGCATCAACGACCGCTACATCCCATACAAAGTCTACTCCAAAAATCATACGAATTCCATACACTATTCTCTTTGCGTGTTCCTCCTTCATAACGACGTAATCATCATTGGTACTTTTAGGAATCAACTTGGGATCAGAATCCAGTGATTTTTGCACAAGTTTTAGGAGAGTCTGCTCGATGATCGGAAGACAGAATAAATTAGATTGAGTAAGAACGGGCGTCGTTATTTCAAACGGAGCTGATATAGCCAATACGTGATGTTCGTCATCATGGTGGTATCGGAATTCGTATGTCCCGACTTCCCAGAACAATTTTTCGCCTCTGAAAGTCAACTCTCCAGATACAATATCGTCTTTGTCCTGTTCATGTTCGTTGCCTATGACATTCGCGTTACTTTCACTTCTCAGTTTCGCGTCTTTGGATTCCACCTCATCATCATTTTCTTCTTCCACATTTCCAACATAGAAATACCTTCCCCAGCTACCAACATTCGTCAAGATTCTGCTGTTATTAGCACCGAACTTATACAGTCCGATCCAATCTTTTCGTCCATGATTCTTTGGAGCGGTCCAACGAATACTGATAGGTGTGCCGAGACTATAGGATATTGGCTGGGAGAAGGATGGTGATGCAGATGACGGTGATGCAGATGACGGTGATGAAGATCGGGATGATGTTGAAGTAGTCGAAGAAGGCGACGATGATAGTGACGGTGGTTCCGAGGAATGAGGCGTGCGTATTGGTGACGTCGGAGTTTGGGCTATCGGTGCGGAACGAGGTGGAATGAGAGTAATAGAAAATCGAGATGGATCAATTTTTGATTTTCGTCTGTTACTATGCAATTGAAAAAGACGAGTCGTTAATACTACGCAAGGCTTCAAATTGTATAACAATCAATAGAAACCAAAGCGATGATATACTGCTATGGGAAACTAGCGCAGAATTTTAGAACATTAAAATTTTCCGAAACCACATTCAAAATATAGTAAGAAGCATAAATAAAGTGTCCCAGCGTCCGAAACGTTGAACCCTAATTACTCAGCGACTCTTACTTGAGAATCATCTTCTCGTGTTCTTTCTGAATTAAATTTCCGGCAACCTCGACTATTTCCCCAACAGCTTCTGCGGCTTCAACCACTCGTTCTCTAACTTCTTTGACTACTGATCCCCTGACTTCATTCACGACCCTCCTGACGGCCCACATTTGTGGTGCTCCAATTTTCGATACTTCCTCTCGTACCCTTTCGGGGAATATATTCACTCTCCTGATAGTTTTCGAAACACCATCTTCTTTTCGTATCTCGTCACCATATAATTTCTTCATGTGTGGAGATTCGACGTATTTCAAGAATAAAAAGTTTGACGTCTGGCTAAACAGAGCCAATCCAAATATAACCCAACTGCTGGAAATCAGCGTAATCCCCCAGAACGCTGCGTGTCCGATAAGTTTTTCTGGATTATTCAAAAATCTGTAAATTCCCGTGTAACATAGTGTAGAAGGGTATTCGTCCAGGAAAAAGTCGCCGTAAAACCAGCCGAAATCTCCAAGTTCCTCAAAAACGGATATGGATGTCCATATATGGAGGGCTATCAGCAGTATACCGAGCGTGTGTCGGAGGAGGACGGTGCCATAAGACCAGTCAAAAGGAAGTGAATAGAGTTTGTATGATGCTATCAAGAAGGTAACGTAGGTCATGCTGAGAGAAAGATTGTAGATACTGTAGAAATGGAAACGAGGAATGCAGAAAATGAGTAAGAACAAAAACCAAAAATATGCTTTTTATGCAATATAACTACATCATATCACAATCACCTCTTCCAATTGTCAAACGCTTCCTTAACAGTTCCTCCAAACTTTATGTAATGTTTCGTCCAAAACTTCTCCTTGCTCTGCAAATCCAATATGGCTCCTAATACGTAGGTATGAAATATTCTCCAAGCAAGGCATTGTCCAACAACAAACATTTGTACGGCATTTTCTGATGCACCGGAAATCAGCAGTGGAACAGCAGTGGCATAAAATATTATGATAACTACGAAGAGATCGGCTGCGCGAAGGAGGTCAAAGTTTTTGAAAACAATAAGATCGCGACGAAAGTATTGGAAAGAAGTTGGAGGATGAGAGAAGTCCGCAAGAGTCGGTTGAAGAGCGGTTGAAGTTGATAAGTGATCATGCAGGGACCCTGCGTTAGTTGAACTTGACGATGATGTTGATGATGTAAGCAAAGCCTTGGGCGATGGTGATAGTTTGGCCCTTAGCGGTTTTGGATCGTTATAGATTTTATCAATATCTGTAAGAATAGGTTGAAGACATCAAACGAGTCAGTATCAAAAAATATGATATAGAATAAATAGTATAAACCGTCAACAAGATAACAAAAAGTCTATCGAATATAAGCCTCATCCACCGAACTGCCTTGCCAAATTTTTTTACATACAAAACATTAATCTCAAACTGTTTCAAATATACTAAAACAAGGGAAAGAACAAAACCCTTAAAAATTTCTAAGTTTTTATATTTTTATAGGGAGAAGAAAAGGCTTTTCTTCACTCTTAAAAACTAACTTATTTACAGCGTAAATAAAAACACCTTTCACCTCCCCAAACCACATTTTTTTCACCAACCATCATCATTCAATTTTTTTCTACATACGTGGATTTTCGACAAAAACCAAAAAGGCAAATTGAGCAGCATGAGCAGCGAGGCTAACAAACAAAACCGTATAACTAGCCATCATCATAGAGATTCCGTAATATCCGCAATATCCAACAGAATACATTGGATGCGGAGCCATTTCAAAAACCCCGTCGAACGTCAGTGTTTGTTCTTCCAAAAAAAAGAAATCACCCCAGTCTAGAAAATGAAAAAGTTTTCGTGAATACAATGAAATTAGATAACACAATACAATTGTCCAACTAAATTCCAAATACTATCTTAATTTCAACATTATCATTCTCTTAGTTCCCCGTAATCCGACCAAACAGAATCCCCATTACTCACACCATGCAAAATCTTTAACAACTCGATGAGCATCGTTCTTGACCCAGACGTTGAACCAGAAAAGGAACAAGCCTCCCGCCCATCGTAAGACATGAACAATAAAGCTGGAGTGCTCCGGAATGTTGAAGTTAGCCAGAGCAAAGCATATGTAGGAAGTGAAGTCATTAAGGAGGATTAGGTCTACGAGCTCGCGGAATAAAAGCCACGTGTTGAATTCGACAGGAACAGACTATCAAAGTAAAAGAGTAAAATTATTTTGTTAGTATATTGGAGAGAGAACACGAAAAAATATAGGAAATAATGCGAGATAAAAAAAGTGAATGAAAACAAGAAAATGTTGAGCGAATATAGCGCAACGAAAATCCGAAGAGATAGATCGTGAAAAAATATGAACCGTGAACATGGTGGAAGAAAAGATCGTGAATATGGCGATGAACGTAAAGAGGAACATGCACAGATAACCATGGGCATGATGAAGGAAATATATAGGTGGGTAATAAAAAAAAAAGAATGTTGGTGAAGGAAACTGATAAGATATAGTGAAAAAAAAACGCGAAGGAAAGAAGAAAGACATGGTAAAAAGACAGCTAAAAATAATGAAAGGAGTTAATGAAAGAGATGGCGAAAATGTGAATAGGAAAACAGTGTGAAAGAGATGAAAGGGAAATGGTGAAGGTAGCCATGAACATTGGTGCAAGGAAGATGAAGTAGTGAAAAAGAAAACCAAAAGGTAACACGCCAAACAAGGGGGGAAAGGAAAAATAGTGACGAGGAAAATGGAAATGTGGTCATAACATGTGACGAAGATGACAAAGAGAATGAAGAAAAAGCGAAGAAAAATGGTCAAACATGAATAAAATGGTATAGTGAGGAAGATGGAGGAAAACATGGGGGGAAAATGAAAACAACCATAAACGTGAAGCGCAAAATAGCAGGGGAAAAATTATGAAAAAGACAGGGAAGGAACAGTAAGGTCGAAATGCTATGAACATGGTGCAAAAGTGAAAAGAAAATTGGGGAAATTGTGACAAAGATGAGAATATATGGTGAAAGAAATGGCAGAAGAAAAGATAGCTATAAAATGAGTGAAAAAGTAATGAAAAGGCCATGAACATGGTGCAAACGAAAGGCGATGGCAATGACGAAAGTGCGAAAAAAGATAGTGAAAAACGAAAAGCGATGGAAGAGAAACGAAAAACGTGAAGAGAAAATGAAAAAATGGTAAAAAAATGAAAAAGACGAAAATGAAGATGGCCATGAATAAGGGGCAAAACATGGAACGGATAATGGTAGGAAAATTGACAGAAAATGG